GCTGGGTTATAGTACTGAGACTACTTTAGTCACCTTCGTCAATTACCTGCATTAGAAACTAGCTGCACGAGCATAAGAACCTTGCTAATATACTTAGATGTTTTGGCAGTTTTTGATACCATCAATCATGGTGTCCTTATTAGCCTCTGGTAGGTTTGGCCTGCTTTGTAGTAGTTTTCCATCTTTTGAGGTGGTGCTTGGAGACTATTATATTGACTTTTATATTCCACAGAGTTCTATTTTGTCTCCTATGCAGTTTAACATCTATGTGAAATTGCTGGGGAAGGTCATTCAGGACTTGGAATAGAATTTTATCAGTATACAGATTACATCCAGCTCTACTGCTTTCTATCTTCTATCTCTAAGAAAGCAATCAATACATTTGAACATTGCCTAATCTCACTTTTGATGTTCAGGAAACTGGTTAAGACTTGGCTTTTTCAAGGAACATTTGGGAACTGAGAAATTTAACAGATAAATATACTTGGGAGAGTTATGTGCAATGTACATGGTTATTCTTTTATATTGCATTAGGATTTGATTATATAAGTTGTATTTATTATTTTAATGTGTATTTTTATTAACATTTACATTAAGAATGTTTTTATGCTGATGGTCCTGTAAGCCACTTAGATTCAATTGACTGAAGTGGCATAAAAATATCTGTAATAAATAAAGAATAAATTAATATGATCACTGTTTTTCCCACAGTCAAACAATGCTATAAACAAGATTCCTTTCCCTTTTCAGTTGCTATCTTTTTTATATTTCTAGTAAGTACCAATCTTTAATACTCAGGCAATCTGATGTAAAATAGGAGGTCAGTTTTGATTCTTTCCCCATAATTGTTTTTCAAAAGGGCTTCACTGAACTAAAATATATAAAAAATTGAAAAGCAGATTATTTTTAAATACATAGATTAAATATTAATAAATAACTAAGTAGAATTATCAGTTTGAAATGAAAAGAAATCAAAAGGAGACACTAATAGAATTTTTCTTAGAAAAGCATTCCAAACCTATGAAATCACATAAAGACTTTCTAAATTTTCATTTGGCTAAAAACCAGAGATTATTATCACTTTTAGAAGAAGATACTGGTGGCCACTATTTTAATCCACCCCTTGGGGCTTTGAGATGGAAGTAGTGATAAAAGTATTATTCAATCTCTACCCTGCGTATTTCTAAAGTTGATGTCAACTTAAACTTGGAATCAGTTACTAGATATATGGTTGTTGTTCCTCCGACCTTGAGGAGATAGATGCTGCTGAATAATTAACACTGCAAGTGGCTTTCTTTCTTAATGAGGTAAAGGTTGCTCTTTCTGTTACCTTTCCCAGGAACCTTTTCAACTAAAGATCCTAATCTGTAATTGTTGAAAGTAGTTATTATTGCCTATGTGTCATGCTGTCTTTTTACTGCCACTATGGGAAGCGCTTTTCCCACCCTTTGCTACCCTCCTGAGTTTCTTGACATTCTACCTGCCCAAATAGACTAGACGTGAGTTAGTACTGCTTATCATTGCTGATGAAGACATTTTAGCAGGTAGTCCACCTGCTTAGTTGAATGCAGCAGTAGTGCTTAATTTGTTCCAGAAGGTTAATGGGAAGAAGGAATAACCTTGAGGAACAGGAAGAAGAGCCACAACCAAGGCAACAGTCAGGTAAAAGAAATCTGAGTCTGGGGCAGATCTGTAACCTGAGTAAGCATCTCAGACAAGACCCTCCTAGTTCTCATGAAAATAATGGGAAAGAGGGAGGAAGTGCGTTCAGATTTGTTGTCAGCCCTCCAAGATAGACCAGACTAGGAAACCAAAGTTATGCATGCTAATATTACTTTTATTAAAAAGTTATAGTAACAGAATCTTGCAAGTCTGAATGTGCTTCCCTCCTCTCTCCTTTTACCTTCATGAGAATTAGGGAGGGTCTTGTCTGAGTCACTTACTCAGGTTACTATCCTGGGCTCAGATTTCTTTTATCTGACTGTTGCCTTGGTTGTGGCTCTTCCTCCAGCTCCTCGAGGTTATTCCTTCTGCCCATTACAGAAGAAGAGTTCTACACAGCATAATCTATGAATGGCATATACCTTCCTTGTTTGAACTTTTAGAGTAGAGGTAACTATTATCTCATGCTCTCATACTCAAGGTTCCATGACTCTACCACGGAATGGAGAAGGGACTGGTTTTACACATTACTTAACCAACAGGAGACAGGGCATGACCAGTTTCATCCTCACTGGGACTCATCAGATATACAAGAGTCATTATCATCAGTATCAAGTTTATTATTTGGGATATCTTCAATTCATGAGGCACAGGGACCAGGTTGCTTGGATTACCTTTCCAATTGTGATGGACTGGAATGGTGGGAGGGGAGTAAAGAATGTGCTCTCATCTCCAGAGGAG